CCTGCATAGTATATTGTAAACACTTAATGCCACAATGCTCAATTCAATTCCAATCAATTACAGTAACTAATAATACTACACAGAGAAGCCAAGATTTTGTTTTTATCAGTTCTAGTCTTCTCGTTACTACTAAACAATAACTGGTAATCAGAAAAGGGGAAAACTTTCAAACCCTAGTTATGAAATTCGAAAGAATCATACAAGACATAGAGAGTTTACGAGTCGAGCTTACCCACCATGGACGGTCTGGACCAAAGCCGCCATTTTCAATTCGTAACGAGTTTGCCTCTGTTTTGCCGTAAAAATCCTTGCTCCAACATCCACTCACTGAGCGTGAACACACCAATACGCCGAATTACCGGATTTCGGTTAAGAAATTTGGTACCCGGTTTATTCCATGCCATGACCATTTTTGTTTTGGTTTAGCTCTGTCGTCACATCATCATGACATCATCAAATTCAAGTTATAGAATTTGTTATACTGATTTTCACACAAATGATTAGATTCGAAACTCATAATTTACTTAGGAAAAGACGTATATGAATTTACAAAGTAAGGTTGTCCTGTCACAAACGTCGTTCCTTGGTAAAAGATTACAAAGGAAGGTTCTTTATGTACGCCAAGCTAGTGAAAAGCTTGGAAAAGAGATAAAAACGTAAACATGTGATTCAAGTTGTAGTAGTCTCTATGGGTTCTCAATCTCACTAGTGTTCAGCAAGATTAACCTCCGCAATCATAGCATCTCCAAGGTCCTAAACTCGGGATTATAGAAAAAAATTTCAAGATTCCGATGATGTTTCCCCAGTATGATCCTCGGCACGCTGAGACGGTAAACGTTTCACATATTAGCAATGAACACATATTTGAACATAATTGAATGAGACTAACGTGGAAAAAATGGATAAAAGATGCATTTCACAGTCCCAACCAATGTTGCGGTTAGAGACAAGCAGCAGTTATGAAACTGACAAGAAACCAATGTGTTTTCAAATACTATTGCAAAGTCAAGAGATGCAGAGGGATACAAGCATAATGTCACAGAGTTTCCATAGCCAGAAGATGCAAATATAGGGTAGTGTAAA